GGGGCGCGCGCGCCCCGCGCAGCCGCCGTGACTGGACCCCCGGCGGAGCGCGCAGAGAGGCCCAAGACGCTCAGGTCAATGTAAAACCATTTTTTTTATTCTAAATCACTTTCACAACAGTGAAAATTAGTGAACAGTAACGGTGACGCACTAAGCGAGCCGTTAGGGGCCGCGTGCGGTCTCAGTACAAGGGGAAAGTGCTATAATACAAAAAGCACACCGAGAGAAAGGTAAGAACAAAAGCATTAACACTTTTAGACTATTTCATTCTTGGATTGCCTGGAAATTAAGGACTCTCAGTCATGTTTCTGCAGCCACCTCAGTCTAAAGCCATTGCTTCTCTCACCAGTAGATGGCAACACCCCGCCCCCCAAACCATTAAAAATTCTGTATTTTAAAACATAAGTGTTAGTTAAATCTCGATTAATACCTCTTTTGAGCCTACGACAGTTACTTTTCCGTCCTCCTTGTAGGAAAAAGGCTTTAAAGGGATACCCTACTCCTTCCTGGGTAACGGCAGCTCCTTCTCGGCACCCAGTTTCTCGGTACTCGGGGAGAAGGAAAACCCTCCCTTGTACAACCACGAGAACTTTTCCTTTTCATCAGCAGGTGGTGCTGCCTGCTCACGAAAGCCCGTCAAAGCTGCGACGTTTTTTACAAACTATGGCCGGTTGCTTGTAGGAATGCAATAAATAGCCTTTCTCCTAGAAAGGGTCCTACTTCCCGAGTTACGCACTTGAGAAGAAGCAGATGTAAAAGAAGTTAAGCTTCTCAAAAGTGCCACACAACAAAAGTTGAAGCATTGCTTCAGCTATTTATAGTTGAGAGAGATATTCTGCCAGATTATCAGCAAGTCAGGTATAAACTCGACTGGATGTGGCAAAACACTGCAGAAGCTTTGCAAAATTGTACTTGCCACGTGGAATTTTGGAGGCGGGCAAGTTAAACCTCAGTGAACAGTTTATAATTACAGAAGTTAGCTTGCACAACAATTAATCAAGGTGCCTTGCCCAGGAACCTCATCCATATGCATGAGAAAAAGCCTAACTATTTAAACAAGGCTTCTATGAGTTGATTTGTTTTGTCAGCTGTCAGTCAACTGCCAAGGAAGTCACAATATTCATCTTGCAGGAAATTATTATGACTATCAGTGATCTGAATCAAAATAATTAAAAATAATTTAAAAAAAAAGTTGGAATTGCCTAGTCAGAAGAAAAATCAAAACTGTTCATCTTGCTAGGGAATCCCTCATAGCTGCTGTTCTGAAAGAATCTACACAAATACATCAGGAATACTTTTTAAAGCTATGTACCCAACAGGATTCCAAAAAGGCTAGTCTTGTGTGCTCACCTTCTGAAACGTTTTTCCCTCAGCACAGAAATGGTTGTAGTTTCCTCCATTATTTCCAATGAATATCTTTGGTAGATATTGCAATGACTCTTGCGCTATAGCCATTTTGTTGTGGCACAGAGCATCTTTACACATCTGTACAGAGAAACTCTTCCAAATGCTCCCCACTGTGGCTAGCAAAGGTAGGATTTCATTCCCCCTCCTGCATAATTTTACAGTATGACAAGTTTAACCTCAAAGCTCACTTTAAAATGTCCCTCATTCCTCTCCCCCAAAAAGCTGATCTCAGATCTGTTAATAGGATTTTATTTGGAGTACATGATCTTGCTTAATGTCTCACAGCCTTAGGAAAAAGAAATGTAGCTACAGTGACAAGGCTGTGAGGGGATTATCCATGGGTGCAGCCAGAGACTGCTGTGAAGAACCAAGGAAGACAACACTGTTTTGTCAGCGGGGAACTGAGCTTGGGTGAGGCAGACAGGTGTGTGTACTGTTCGGCAACCCCAGCCAGCTCCACGACGAGAGCATCTTCCAGTGTCTGGCTCCAGCAAATGCAGGTTTTAAGAAACTGCAGCATAAACTTGTATCCCTTCTTATAACAGCCACTGGAACCACTTCAGCAGGGAGTTTTCCATCACTCCATCAAATAACAGCAAGAAAAGAAAGCATTCTCCAAAGCTGGTTCCATTTGCATCACAAGTCACGCCCAAGGAGTCTCAGCAGTGCTGCAGATGACTTCCTGAAGAAGGCTAGATGTTGATGTGAAGACATCAAACAACATCCGCAACTCCAGCTGGTCCATCGTGGTTGCCAAACATGAGATACAGATCACACTACAGAACTTTGCTTACCTGCCCAGCCTACCTTGGGGCAACTGTCTTTCAAGTAAACCTGTTGTAACTAATTGGCACAGGATTTAAAAGCAGCACTCCTTTTAGAAGTGGAGCTCAAAGCTAGCCCCATGGTTTGTGGCAGGAACCTGTTGTACAAGATAGCTGAGCTGAAATATGCTTTTAAACCAATGTTTAATTTCCAGCTCTGGTGCAAAACGCGAGATTCTTCATTGTGCTGTGGTACCACCAGTTTCTGGAACCCGTGATTAGCTATGGAACCAGACACCAAGAGGTTTAAAATGGGAAGGGGATGCAGTTTGTAACTGTTTCAGAGGCCTCGCTGGCCATGAATATACAGGATAATGGAAAAGATTTATGCAATCAACAGCCAGAACATTATCACCAGAGCCACAAACAGGAAGAGGCGGGATAGGAACTGCTCATCCACATATTGAGGAGTCCCTGGAACAGCTGGAAAACAGGAAGTAAAAAAAACAGTTCAGCTCTTTCAACTTCTCCAGAATATTGTATATTCTGCATATAGCACATTCATAAGTTGAAAAATACGCAAGAAATCCACCTGCAGAAAAACTGTTGCTGACAAGGTTTCCTATCCTTGGGTTGCCTAGCCATGCCAGAAGGTCAGAAGGAAGAGAAGCATCAGCTCCTCAGAGCAGAACTGGCAGTAGGCCTGCTCATGACTAATAGGAGCAGGCAGCTCCAAGTGCTAAGTCCGGACAAGTCCGTTCAGAGTACTGGGGACAAAGCTGAGCTAAGTTCATTGTTGCCAGGTGTTTCCATCCTGAGGAACTTTACAACCTCTGCCTCAGCCTTCCTTCCCCCTCAAGGTGAAATACATCTCTCTGCATATGCAAATGGTAACAGAGTCAAAACTTGCGTGTGTAGCCTTGACCAAGAGAACTGATGAAAAGCGCACAAGCTTAAAGCTCTGGATGGACCTTTCTGGAACTGCTGTATTGAGTCCCCAGATGAAAAGCAGATAAAAGCGTTGGTTAAACGATGGCTGTATATCAGCACACATTTAAATACCCCTCAGTTCAGGCAGACCCCACACAATTTTTCAGTGCAAAGCAAAGTATAGCTGATAGGCAAGTTCATTTGGCCCAAGGACAACACAGGTCCTTTTCAATACACATGTGACATGAAGAATGACCTTCTGGTTTTTTCCTCATAATTCCTAGGCCAAAACACAATGTATCCTCAACCCATATTATAGAGTGAAGTAAATTTACCAGGTGGAACCTTTCACCCAGGAAGTCCAGAAAACGTTGGGCAGTAGGTTTTCTCGTTTGAAACAGGTAGACTCAGTTATTCCTACAGTGCTGATAGGGAGGTGTGTTTCTGGGGATTACCAAACAACTTTTAGAGAACGAGGCCACTATTTGAAGTAACTGAACTGTTTTTTCTTAATTAAAAAAAAAAGTGAAATTATTTCACCAGAAAGTGAAATTTTGTCACTTAGCAGGCTATTTTTTTAGAAGTCACAAGTAAGTTTGTAAAACATTTGTTTATGATATGACTCTCCTAGAAGGTAGGACGCACAGTACCTGGAGGAGGTCGCCCGTCATTTATGTTGAATGCTGTGGCAAATATACCAAAGGGAAAGGCCCCAATTCCGAATGACATTTGGAAGCCACCATCCCCAAACCCAAAGCCCTGGAATCCCTGCAGAGAACAAAGCAACAGAAGATTAAAAAAAGGCTACAAATCATTTAAAACATATCTCAAAAACATTTTGCAAAACTGCAGACAAACGTTCCCTCTTGCTGGCTTCTTTCCTAAGGCTGAAGGATTGGCATGCTGTCTGACAACTTTCAGTTTGCCACGCTATTGTTACCTACCTCCCTAGTTCTCCTGGTTGTAAAGTGTTTCACACAGTAGCAACTTTCCCAGAGCAACCCAAAAGTTTGAGAAAAAGGAAACCAGGAACTGCAGTTCTTGCTTGAAGGCCACAAATTAGCCAAAGCATTTCTGTAATTTCTCAACCTAAAACCAGCATATATCTGACAACATATCAAAATCAACATTACCAACGCTATTTAGAACATTTAAATACTGCAATTCTATATTAAGAGCTATTAGCCATATCTAAAGCAAAGGCATTGTGAAAAATAACCTATATTGATTTTTCTGATATACATGCATCACTTAAACATTCAGTAAAGGGATAAATTGCAAGTGGGATGCCTGGAGCATTATAGGGAAGAACAATACCCAAAAAAGTATCAGGGAGCCCGTACCTGAGCTGGCATATAAAGTCATCTGGGGCAGGATTGCAGGACAGGATAAAAGAACAGAAGATGCAACAACACGGACCCATAGGGGGTCCAGAGCAACATTCCATGTCAAGTCAAAAGATAAGTCATCTGTGTCAAGATGAATCGCAACATATAAAAGCAGTGGTAAGAACCAACTGTATGTAAATCTTAAGCAGTTTTGTCATCTTTAACTCCGGAGAGCTCGGTGTCTGTGTCCTGTAATACAGCAAACTGTCCACTTGTCTCAGAATTATACCAGTGATATCAATTCTGAAAAACACTCTGGTCTATCACCTCCCAATAATGGGAGGGATGAAGATGGATTTCACTAGTATAATTTAAGCCAGATGTTTCTGTGTTGATCCTTGATTTGAGGAGTTAGTCTTGACTATGACTCTTCTCAACTGCTTTACCATTAACTCTCTATCGGGGACAGCAAAGCACTCTGCATGGCAGGTCCTGCATTTGTTGGAAACAGGAAGGACAGCATCGCTACTGCTATGTCTTCATACCATATTCCTCTGACTTAAGGCAACACCCGCTAAAAGGTTCAACCGAGATGCAGCAGCTGATTTAATAAGAAGACAACTCCCTGGAGAGAGAGAACGACTGAGCTCCCAATCTATTCAATGCAAAAATGTTCCTTAATCACACCCAGCAGGGTTGTTTGCGTGAAGTGTGAGGCACACAAATGCTCTCTGAGGACCCTGGCTGGAGTTACGTGGAAACACGCAATTGTTTCATCAGGTCTTGCTCACTGTCTGACCTAGTGGCTCTCCCACGTCTGTTTATCGTGTGTGAGCTGCTGTTTATATTCACTGTGTATAATCTCCTCAGCAAAAAAATGGATCCCACTTCAAATTAACATGGATCCAACAGATACACCTACATTCTTTTCATGCAATGCCATGGTACGGTAATATCCCACAGAGAGATGCTAGAAGTGGGTATCAGTGCCAAAAATAGGCATATTCACACATGGATTACACGTTTCCAAGACATCGCCATATGATAAAGATATATTTCCAGAGAGAATTTGCAAAGCAAAGTGTTTCTTGTATTTATCTATGGAGAATGATCAAGTATGAAGAACGGCATTTCCAGTGATGCCACACACGGTTATTTTTGTGAAGCATGATTGAAGTTAACTCATTCTTTGGGATGCTAAGGAGTACTATAGGAATGGAGTTTTCCTGCCACACAGCAGCTATCAGTTATTCACGAACAACCTACTGGGAATGAGCAAGAAACAGTAAGTATAGGATCATCACACAGGATCTTACACACACATCATGCCCTCCAAGATAAATAAATACCACCATCAATAAAAGCAACTTATCTGCTCCGGTTCATTTTTTCACTTACCCCTCTGTTCTCTGGTTCAGGTCTCTGACCCTGGGGTCGTGGTGGAGTTTTCTCTCTGTAGGAAATTCTGCAATTACCTCAAATGCAAGGATAATCACGTGATAATAGCAACTGTCATAGCTTAGCTAATAAAGCAGAACCAACATGGAGCAATCTCTCATAGGGCTATGCTGCAGCAGAACTGGAGGCAGGGTGAGAGAGTAGACCCACCAGCTATATGAACCCTCAGGATCACATACCTGAATTAAGATTTCGCACTTTTGCATAACAAAGTCTCATGGCAAATGCCAGAAACTGAGGACCAATAATGAAGTATGAGCACTTTATACAGCTGCTCCAGTCAGATAACATTAACTGCAACCTACCACTTGTAGCTGATAATTAACACCCAATTCAAATTAAAATAAACTGCCAGATGTACAAGAAATAAGGTGTGCAAACTCAGGCCCCAGAAAAGCCAAAAACATTTGGCGGAAATGTCAGTTCTAGCCAACTTCTGACAACATATTTCACATTGTGAATATAACAATTTAGAAATTTCATCTTGAGAGTTGGTAGTTTTCACACAAACATACTTGTATTTGGGTTCCTTACCTGGGGTCCTGCTGCCCAGTGCTGCCTCTTCCATACAGAGGAATAACTTTATCTCGACTGATTCCTGCTTTGCATACAGGACACACTTGCCTGTTTGGCCTGGTCTCTAGCCACTGAAAGAAAGGAAATGAAAACAAAACAAAGGATCATGAGAACAATAACTTGCAAACCTCTTTTTGCAGCCAAGCAGAGAGACTTCAGCAATTTCTCAGAAAGCCAAGGAGCAAAACATCTTACTAAATGCCAAGTACTCTCCAAAATGTTGGCATTTTGGCTACAGTTCTGCTGTGATTCATCTGCTGATGTGTACACATTCAGAACTGCAACTGAAAATATATGAGAAAACACACAACAGCAACAGCCCGACACAGGCCAAAGGCTAGAGCAGATAGCCTCCTTTCGTCTTTCTTTTCTATGATGCTACTACGATGTATAACACTACATACGCAAAGAGAAGTACGTTCAACCTTTAGCCTACCAACTAAAGCCCTGTCAATTGTCTACATCTACTCTCCTATCAAAATGGGGAATAGTCAGTGGTTAAGGCACTGAAAAGTGGGAGGAAGGTGGAACGCTATCTAAGTTTTCTTTTCACTGAAAGAACAAATTGCAAGTTGTTGCACGTGAAGTTGCATTTGCACATTGTGGTTGCCCTGGAGAGAAAGATGCACACTTGAAAAAAGCGGGATGTTCCAGCTTTTGACAGAATGCTCCAGAGAACCAACGGCTTTATTGTGTAACAGAAGCTGATGAAAGACAAAGTAAAAGGTAACCTGTCTTACCTGGTGTAAACAAGGCCAACTGTGAGCATTCCCAGGACAATTTGTTCAAAAAGCAGAAAAAGAGGGGAAAATAGAATTAGTTACTGACAATTTGATCTGACAAATGTATAAAGTGTACCAGGGATAGCAAAGCTTAGAGACACCAGAATCCTGGAATCCAGTCAGGCCAGTTCCATAACCTCCCGTTAAAATAATTTTTGAAAGGACAGCCCAAGCCTGATCTCTGCTGGTCTTTTCAGGTTATGCAGTCTAAGTAAGTTGCTAACAGGATTCTCTCCATATCACCTCTGACTGCTGCGTCCTCATCCCTACCAGAGGCCCAAATAGAGGCTTAATTCATCTTATGGTGTTTACTGGACAGAATTCCTCTTCCAATTCTATGAAAAGATATCCCTGAGCTAAGATGCAAATTAGAAAAATGACAGTAATGAGACTTCAGAATCTTAACAGAAGTCTTGTGAGGGATGTATAGCAAAAACATTGGCCACGTTCATAGAATCACGCATTAATTCAGGTTGGAAGGGACCTAAGGAGGTCTCTAGTTCAAACTCCTGCTCAAAGCAGGGTCAGGTATGTGATCAGACGAGGTTGCTCACGGCACAAAAATCCCCATTATGCCACTCTTACATTAATGTGGCAACTTAAAAATGGTCAAAGACAAACGAGCAAGCTACGAAGCAAAACTGCTAAGCAGCCATCTGCTTTCAAAGTGATCTTTACGACACTATTCAAACAAGATACAGGCTATTCCTTAAAGGTCCGTTCTTCAAAATCCTTTTGTGACGTTAGCATTGCAATAATCTTATCTTTGGGTATTATCAGCAAGTGATTCTCCATCTTTAGAATAAGTACCTGGACCTTCAGATGTTATATATATCATCATAAAAGAGAACTGTTCCTTTTATTAATGAGCATAATTTAGCCTACTATGTAAAATAAAACAATGTCAATCCTCATTAGCTTTTTGATGTTCAAAAAGGTATATTCTAGACCAATCTTCCCAAATAAGAAATGCCACATGCTTACTGTATTTATGCAATACATTCCCAAATCAGATCAAAGAACCAAATGGCTAGTATTACAACGGCAATACTACGGGAAAAGAGAAATAGCCTACAAATAAATTTTTCTATGATTTCAAAAGAAAAAAAGAGCAAGCTTTGTAGTAAGTATGAAAATAACAGTTTGGTCTCCAGAACCTCCTTTCAGATTTAGTCTTAGGTATGCACAGGCTAGAAAGGCATTTAGGTCTGAACAAGATATCTATGCTAGACCAGAAAGCACAAATAAGATAAGACACTTAGCTAAACATTATCAATGAACACTGAACTATCCAGGGTTTTTTGCTTGTTTGTTTGTTCTTACAAAATTGGAAAGTATAAAAAAATTAACATGCAGGAAAAATGTTCCCCGGACTACCACCATTTAACAGAGAAAAAACAGTTTAGGAGCAAAAAGGTAAGCTGCACCCAAACCAAAGCCAGGGACCTTCTGCAGTTTTTACAGTAAAACAGATTTTTATTCGATATTTAACATTGTAAAAGTCATAGGCTTTTGGGTGATCAGAGACACATGAGCTGTAGCAGATGTTTTGGTTTCTCTGTGGGGACTTGAGTACTTACCAGAAGAGATGTCCACACAGGCTGATAACTGCATCCTTGGCAGTGTCTAAACAGATGTTACATTCAAAAGTGCTGTCCTGATTAGTACTGTCCCCAGCACCGTTGCTGCTACTGCTGCCACTGGTCCCTCCAGTACTGGAGTTTTCCGTTGATGTAGAAGTAGCGGGTCCTTTGCTTGCCATCCTCAGGAGCTGCCCAGATGCAAGGTCAAGAAAATTTTCCTATTGGAATCCTAGCAGTGAGAAAAGGAAAAACACTTCATTAGTATTATAACGTCAACATAAATAAAAGAACATTTGAATCCGGTTAATGATGGCTTCAGTTTAACATAGCCAAGATGGATCTTTTTTTTAGAAAGTAAGCTACTTTGAAGTCCTGTAGTATGACCTGGCTAATCATGTGACACGTATTTCAAAGTTACTGATCAACAGTCTAGACCCACAGCCAAAACAAAGCCACCCTATTTTCTCATAAATGCCACTTTCTATGAGGAAAAAAACGAAAGAAAGAAAGAAAAAAAAATTGGCTCACCTAGTCATATGTGCTCTTCCAAGAATTCAGCACAAACCATAACTCTCTAAGTGCAGTCTGAAATAGGATTTAATCATGAAGCAATTCATGGAAAGAAGCTTATTTTCAGATTCAGATTGGGCAGACTGACTCAAAGCATATATTTAAGTGCAATGATCATTAGTTTGGATTATCATGAATGATAATCATGGAAAGCGGGAGTGGCTTGGCACTTGATGTGTCTCATCAGCCACATCTTGCTGTTATCACAGCAGTGGGTTGACATGACTAGCAAACATTTCTAGCACTTTCAAACTATCAAATATTTTTAATAATTCTAGTAGTAATGCAGAAGTACTAAAAATCTTACTTTAATATGCTGCTGACATGCTTTCAGCTCTCATTAACATCATCACGTCTATCAAAGACCATTTAGTTTATTGCAATAAAAACAACCTCCCCAGTCTATTTCCTAGATATGCAAATTCCATACCTAAAGCTCTGAGACATGCCACAAGGAACCTATATTTCCAGAAACATACATTTCTGCCAGATTTCCAGAAACATACATTTCTGCCAGTACAAGGTTTTTAATCCAAGAGCTAAGAATTTCAGCAATGACAGAAATTAACCAAAACAAGATCATTTTAAAACTTCCATTGTGCCTTTCATGAAACTCTGACATCCTGCTGCTGCTGCAGGGATATGAATATCTAGATAAGGCTGTGAGAGGGGAACAGGTGACTATCTCAACCTTTTGCAAGTGCACGAACAGTTAAACAGTTAAGAATTTGAAAAAGGCCATCTGAACTTTTCAGAAGCTATTTTCTTTGTGAACTTACCCCACAAGCACTAGCACAGGCTTCCTTTGTGTCCCCTCTTTGCAGCAGTGCTGAAGCACAGGTGCAGAGCAGCAAAACAAAATCTCCGTATCTCTAGCTGTTACTGTCAACAGCTCTTTTCATACAATTCAATGCCACTACAGTGTCAAGAAAACGTCGTAGTCAAGCCTCATCAAGGTATTGCATCAATGACACTAAGTTACAGCTGGCAAGAAGAAGAAATTTATTTTTGCAGAGCTTTTTCACTCAGTTACATCATTTTGCACGGTGTCCCAGAAGGGTAGCTTAGTAGTCACAGATGCTGTGCTTTAACATACATTGCTTTCAGCACTGCTGACTCTTAGCATTTCATACTATTGACTTCATTTACACTCATCAGCAAAACAGTTCACTGTACATCTAAAATTAAAATTCATGTTAGTTCCAAGCAGATGGAAGCGCTGCGAGCCCACAAACTGCACACTAAACACACTTGGGAGTTTTCACACATCCTTACTACCAGAATCTTCAGTATAATCAGCCTATCTTGCTCAGGATTTTAATGTTTGAAAACCTACCAGCTTCGGACCTATACACACTGGGAATGAAAATCAACATTAAAAAAACCCTCCCTTTAACTAAGGAAATCAACACATTCTCAAAGAGCACTAACATAATTTTCTGGACTGGACACAGAAGAGGTTTGGTTATTCAGCTTGCCGCATAACGTAAGCAAAAACACGTAGAGGAAGCACATAAGTGAACTCTTCTGTCCCTAAAACCAATGAAGGAAACAAGATCTCCTTTTCTCCCAATTAAATTACATATATTTAGCACTCAAAACTTGGAGACTCCTCAAAAAGCTAAAATCTGTATCTTCATAAACCCCTGCTTTAAAACTCTTTGCTTGCAGTAACTGTGAAAAATAAATAAATCATCAAGTGTATGAGGAAGGATGACACAAAAATCATTATTATAGAGTATCATCATTGTAGAATATCATTAATGCAAAGAAATAAAGATGGCTGAGACAGAAGAAAGATCAAAATAATATAACATGACAGGCATTGAAAATACCCTCCTAGAAGGTCGTTCCTTACTCTGAACCAGAATCCTCTTCTAGTTCTTTCTCCATACACTGTTTGGCCCTGATGCACCGACAGGATTTAACCAGTTTAAAATATCAAAAATGGATCAAAGCACAACAACAAAAATAACCAAAAAGCAATCTTACTCTGAAAAACCTTCTAAATCCTTTGCTTTTGTCTGTGGAATACTGTTTAATACAACTAGGACTATAGCAGGCCCTGTAGGGGTGTGTTCATCTGCAAAGCACGCTGCATATACGATGAAGCAAGCATGAAACAGCGTCTGATGACTAAAAGGTGCATTTGATAATTGTACGCTGCATCACTCATGAGCTTAGCCTGTGAATCCTAAAGTAGCAGTTCAACCACAAATTCAATTTGTCCAAGTGTAGAACAAGTTCAAAACTGTAGAAATGTCACCTGAACTACTTTAAACTCAGAGACAAAACTTAAAAAAACAGCAAACCAGGCCAAACGGAGCCCAGTTTCTGTTTGATCTAGAAATCAGAAAAAAGGAAGATTGCAAGTGCCCTGGGACACACCACGACTTTTGGGGTTAAGTAAATAGAACGTAGAGAGGACTGGCTGGACAGATGCCAGTCCAAGTTTGCTAAACCCTCGTCCTTCAGATCAGCTCTTAAATCCAACCTCAGAGGCATGATGAGTGGCAAACAAAACAAGTGAAAGGATATAAAAATCAGTTGAGATCTAATGGCAAGCATGCAAAGATTTTCCTGCCCTTCTTTGTTCTCTAGACATGTATGGGAAAATAATATCTTTGTACTTAAGAGCCATCTATATCTGCTGTTTGTTTCATTTAAGTCATCACCTCCTGTGATATCCCAACAGATTGCTCTGAAAAATGACTAGATCGCTGACAACTACTGCATCCAGAGAATCAAGATTGGCAACAAATGAAGTAGTCTGCCTAAATAAAGCGTGCTGGAAGGGATGGAGGGTGAAGAAGGCATGGCAGAGAAGATGTACGTCTAGGGATCCAGCGTGCATCCCACTGTGCTGTCCAAAGAAAAAGTATGGCTGATAGAGCTGGCAAACTTGGACCCCTGAGAAGTAAACGGCACACTGGGACCTGAGCGCTGCGGGACAGCTGCAAGCGCAGGTGGTCCATGAAAGAAGTGGAGGAAATCAGTAAGGACTGTATTAATACAAGTCTCACGAACAAGCAGTGAGAAATAAATTTGAGTAAATATTTTTAAAATTTAAAAAAAGAAAAAAAAAACATAGAGCTAGTATGAGAAACTGCACAAGAGAAATATGTGAGCCCAATGGATCCTGTAAAAGATGATGTTTCTTAACTTAGCAAGAAAAATTACTACATTTGCCGAAGTACACTGACCTGCCTCTAAAAAACAACAGAAACTTTTCAGGACAGACTGGGACAGCTTCCACCATAAGTTAAACCATGCAAAAAATTCCATTGGAAACACAGCAGGTGAACAGTAATTCAACCTGAGAGAGAGAGAGAGAGAATATAAATTAAAAGCTGATGTCACTCTGTGAGAAACAATTGTGGAATATATGCTCATAGCACTGTAACATTAGAATGTTTGAAAAATTTACTTTGTAATGTTCCTTCATGAGCATGAAGAAAAAAATCTCAGCAAGGCTACAGAACTCTGGCTTGTTTATTCATAAAACATACCTTTTATTTATTTTTGCAATGACTAATATATAACAATGAAATAAAAAGAACAGCACTGTTGGATTAGAAATTCTACTAGAAAGACACACTCCCATATTTCTTTTGTTAATGAGACGTATCTTATCTGAGATTACGCAAATTGAAACAATCTAGGTCTAGTTTGTGATACAAGTTCTCATTTAGTTTCTGAACTTCTTTCTGTTTAAGTGCGAAGGAAGATTTGTTAGGCTACTTTTCTTATAATTACTGTGACTGTGATTTTCGGATGCAGATATGACAAATTAAAAAAAGAGAAAGTATTAATGTTAGAAGTTTTATCAAAATCTAAGAATATTACCAAGATTTTATATAAACGTACCTAATCATAAGTCTAAGAAAAATCTGATACTTAAAAGTATTCGAGTTGTCTGGACTTCAATTAAGATAATCATTGACAGTGCCTAGAAGAACATTTACTTCTTGATAGTCATTTTAAGATAGATACTCATAGTAAATACATGACTGAAGTCCTACAGTTAATTATTAAACACGCATTTATCTCACCACCTTTTTATTCCATTCAGCCTCCCAAACACGTTACATGTTAACTCCTCCAAACCCTTTTCTGCGAGCACACCTTTCCACTTCCCAGAAACTCCATGCCATCATGCACCTGCTTCTTAGTATTACAGAAAGCGGACCCAACCACAAGCCTGCCCACCGGCTTGATCTGGCAAACGCATCTGTTTTGCTCACGGAGCGACGAGCCGTCGCGCGGCCCCGTTTTGTTAACCGGGATTCTGCAGCGCGCCTGCACCGCGGGCACCGCTTCCAGGACGCGAGGCGCGCGGAGAGGCTGCCCGGGGGACTCGACATGCCTCCCGACACGCTTACAAGCTCTCAAAAAAGCACGGGATTCAGATCGTTCTTTTTCTTTAAACGATTCCATAAAACCTGTATCATAGACTCGAAGAAGAGATGTTATCCTCCTGCCTCAGGAAGTCCAAAGGAAAAAAGAAATCTGCTATAACCAGCTGGGTGGTATCACCTGAACGTTTTCCTGGTCCGGGGCGTTATGTAAAATATTTGTTAGAATCAAAGGCCCCTAAAGCGGGCTAACCGGGCTGGCACCGAAACGTGCACAAGAGGAGCCCGGCGTGCCGCAAGCAGAGCCAG